TGTAAAACGTGTATACGTAAACGACGCCAGACTCCATTATATATATATATATATATATATATATATATATATACTCTTCGGTAAATCGAATCGAGTTCTCTCAGTCACTGTGTGTTTATCTAAAAATAAATACGCTTACATTCTCCTTCATCCCTGCCGTGCACCAACGGATGTGATAAAATCCCCCAACTGATGCTAATTCAGTCGGGTTTCGAGTCTAGCCACACTGATGAGCTGTGAATGACAAAAAATATACATTTATATATATATATATATACTCAACTCTCCGAATCCGACGTATGAGGGTCAAGCAGATCAGTTTCCAGGAAGCCGATTATAGTGGTGAAGGCTTCGTGCAGGACCATCCACACTTTTTGAACGGACGAATACAGAGACCTGGTGCACTAAGTGCCACAAGGCCCCCAAACGACCCTCCGCAGGTTTTGAATTCAGAGTTGTCCTTCTCCTAGACCAGTTGCCATCCAAGGCTATCGAACCCAGTCTGTCCTGCTATTTACCCATATCTGGTGGGAGGAGAAGTGGAGTCATACCTTTCCCAAGCACGTAAGTGAATGTAATGGATTCGACTGGAATTCGAACTCGGCTCTCCGATTCCTCGATCCAAGCCGCTGTCCATTACGCCACTGTGTATACTGCAATAATGGACTCTGACGTTGTTTGTTTACCACCTGAAGAAACGTTTATTTTATCATTGAAACAAAATGTATAGTTTTGTAGTGGATATTTATATGCTCTAATGTAACAGTGCATTATATATATATATATATATATATATATATATATATATATATATATATATATATATATATATATATGTCTGTTTTTATACAAGTGTATTAAAGACAAAAGGTACTGTAATTAGGCTATTTATACAGATTTTCTTGTCTCATATAAGTGTCTAAAAAGTGTCCAAGTGTTCTGCTTATCCAAGCGGTTTCGGCCATTCTATTACTCATCACGAAACATTTTTTTTAACAGAATATGTAGATTTTTATATATGGTTATCTATAATGATGGGAATGTTCTTTTTTTTACCAAACACTGTCAGCACAGTCTGGCCGTGTTCATAGCTGATATTATTGTGTGTGTCCTTTTTTTTTTCTTTTCTTTTATTTTCTTTTCACATGTGGATCAGGATATTATAGTTGTAATTTTAACGTTTCTTACATGTAAATTCATATTGGTCGTCTATATTCAATCTTGCAGGTGGGTCGTTGTCATTGACGATAAGAATAGATGTTTTGTTTTTTGTTTTTTTATAGTAGATTATTGAATTTTCTTGTTCTGCTCAACTGGGGTTATATATTCCTTTCCCTTCGAAACATCATAATGAAATACACAACACAAGTCGACCAGAAGCAGAAAATGAAAATAACTATGTACTATAGAAATGTTTAAAGATGCCTTCAAAAGGTTAAGCAATGTATTAAGAAACAGGAAGTGTTTGTTAGAAACAAAGAAAAGCGTTCTCAGCTATTATGTAATATCGGTGCTCCTTATATGGTAATGAATGCTGAACAATCACTATCTCAATTTATCTATCTATCTATCTCATTCTTTTCTCATCTATCTATCTATCTATCTATCTATCTATCTATCTATCTATCTATCTATCTTATCCTCTTCTCATCTATCTATCTATCTATCTATCTATCTATCTCATCCTATTCTTAAATATCTTTCTATCTATCTATCTATCTATCCTATTCTCATCTATGGATCTATCTATCTATCTCAGTGTTTTCATTATCTATCTATCTATCTATCTATCTATCTATCTATCTATCTATCTCATCCTATTCTTAAATATCTTTCTATCTATCTACCTATCTATCCTATTCTCATCTATGGATCTATCTATCTCAGTGTTTTCATTATCTATCTATCTATCTATCTATCTATCTATCTATCTATCTATCTATCTATCTGTCTGTCTGTTCTGTTCATATCTAACTATCCCATCCTATTTTTATCTATCTATCTATCTATCTATCTATCTATCTATCTATCTATCTATCTATCTATCTATCTCATCCTATTCTTAGATATCTTTCTATCTATCTACCCTATTATTATCTATCTATCTGTCTATCTATGTATCTCTCCCATCCTATTCTTATCTATCTATCTATCTATCTATCTATCTATCTATCTATCTATCTATCTATCTATCTCAGTCTGTCCTTATCTATCTATCTATCTATCTATCTATCTATCTATTTCAGTCTGTTCTTATCTATCTATTTCAGTCTGTCCTTATCTATCTATCTATCTATCTATCTATCTATCTATCTCTATCTATCTCAGTCTGTCCTTATCTATCTATCTATCTATCTCTATCTATCCTATCTCAGTCTGTCCTTATCTATCTATCTATCTATCTATCTATCTCAGTCTGTCCTTATCTCTCTATCTATCTATCTATTCATCTATCTATCTATCTATCTATCTATTTTCATATCTATGTGTTTATGTTTAATATGGAAAAAGACGGAAAATCTATCATTTAATCATCCTGTTGGATTTATATCCCCACCCGACACACGCACATATAGATGTGTGTGTGTCTGTGTGTCTATGTGTCTGGGTGTGTGCGCGTGTGTGTTTGCGCACGCGTTATATAAGCAGAGATTGGCGTGTTGCTGAAATGATGCGTAGATTTTACTGTATATTTTAACGTCTCACTCGTAATTTATGTAAATTTGTATGTAAGTAAATATTTACCAAACGACGAACTATTCCCGATAGAAATCAATAACATCGTTCGTATCTGTGTCGGATTTATTTTTATTTTACGCACGTGCATTTCCCTATATACAATCTCTCGCGGTAATCATTCCAATATATATATATATATATATATATATATATATATATATGTGTGTATAGGAATAGACTGAGAGAGATATGAATAGACAGAAATATAGATAGATATAGAAAAAGGAAACATAGATAAATAGATAAATAGACAGACTGAGATAGATAGATAGATAGATAGATAGGAAGGAAGGAAGGAAGGAAGGAACAGGATGATAGATATGAATAGACACCTTTTATATATAATGAAAAGTCCGACAAACATTATTATTATTATTATATTTTCTGTTTGTAGATTATTTTTATAAATAAAATTTCTTTATATAAATGTTTTTAATAAAACCGTATTAATTACATTTACCAGCCTGAATGTTCCAGAAATTTCATAGAAAATACGCTTCCTCCGACAGGGATCGAACCTGTATGGCTGTACGGGAAACGTCATTTCACCTGACGTGCTAAGCCTAAGTCCGAATTACTGTTTATAAACACGCAGTCTTAAACAGTAATTTGGACTTTGCCAGCCAAAAGCTTCTCTGTAGCTGAATGGCATAGTTATCTTATAATATATATATATATATATATATATATATATATATATATATATATATATATATATATATATATATATATATATATATATATATATATATAAGATAACTATTCTATATTATAAGATAACTATATATATATATATATATATATATATATATATATATATATATATACGTCTGCGTCCAAGGCAACCTTTTAACTTTAAAAATCAAAAGATTTTTGACATTAGGCTAACCCTCGCGTCCTTTTTTTTTATCGATGATGTTGGACAACTGGATGTGTTTCTCAACAAGCCGTTTAAAGAAGTGGATAGTTAGTGGGGGGGAAATCATTCAGGCGTAATACACGCTTAGACAATCATGTATCTTTCGATACATAACTGACGAGGCAGATTGTTCACGCAATAGGTTGCCATTTCTTTGTGCGATAGACCAGTTGCCATCCAAGGCTATAGAACCCGGTCTCTCATGCTATTTACCCATAGATGGGGGGGGGGAGAAGAAGAGGATTCATACCTTTCCCAAGGGTATTATCAATTAAATGAATATCAATCAGTTATGTGCCATGTGTGATACACGCGTAGGCGATCCTGTATCTTTCGATATATGACAGACGAGGCAGATTTTTTTCCCGCAGTAGGTTGCCATTTCGTTGTGCGGTAGACCAGTTGCCATCCAAGGCTATAGAACCTGGTCCGTCCTGCTATTTACTTGTAGCTGGGGGGGGGAGAAGAAATGGATTCATATCTCTTCCAAGGGTATTAGCAATTAAGTGAATGTAATGGATTCGACTAGAATTCGAACTCGGCTCTCCAATTCCTCAATCCGAGCCGCTATCCATTCCTCCACCATTTAATTTTTTTAAATTGATAAATTGATCATCTTCTCCGGCGAATGTAGCCCGAAAGCTACATTTTAACTAGAAAATTTAGTATCATCTTGTACGCCAACATATATATATATATATATATATATATATATATATATATATATATATATATATATATATATATATATATATATATATATATATATATATATATATTAAAATTAAGCCGAATGGGCCGTTCGCGTCGCCTGAAGATCCCGGGTTATGATCTGAAGAATACGGGTTACGACTAGAGCCATCGTTTCATAGGATTTAACGTTACGTACAAACACACACACGCGCACACACACACACACACACACACACACAAACACACACACACATATATATATATATATATATATATATATATATATATATATATATATATATATATATATATATTTAAAAATCCTGAAATTTGAAACCAGAAAAGTAGTCTTTCGGAGACCTTAAAAAAAATTTGGAAACACCTTTATTTCTATCCATTTACAAAATAACGTTTCAATCTGGTCTATACATTTGAAACCATCAAAATTCATTAACAAAAATATAAAACGAGAATATTGCATAGGTGATGGTAAAATTTAATAGGCAATGCTCCTGTTGGTGTTTATCTCATTATTGAAGAGTTTTAAAAAGAGCAGCAGGACGTAGAAAGCGAATGTGGACGCATTCTCCGAGGAGAGTCTAGCCCAAAAAGAAAAAAAATGTCGTGATGAAAGGCTTCAAAATATAGTTAACGATTGTGTAAACTGACCAGATCTTATAGACTATCTTAAGAAGTACTTGCTCATAATCTTTCATTATAAATTATTCATATATTCTGCTTTTATATTTTTTTCCAATGAATTTTGAATGTTTCAGATTGTTATATTGTTGAGTTCGTTTCAACAATCCTCGTAGCCACTGTTATATTCCGAGCTAAGGGAATAAACACATAACACCAGGTTGATACTAGAATAAAGGTTTATTATACACAAAAAAAGTGCAATATCAAATACGGAAAAGTTATACACACAGGTCAATCTAGTAGTGAGTGCCACTAATTGGAAGGTCGGACGTACCTGCGTCGACTCGCTCACTCCTTTTCTGTCTCTCGAAGACGGTTGACTCTACTTGCTACCTATAGTGGAATCATTCATGGGGGTTACTGGTTATTCTATTACATCACAAATGTTTAAATATTATTTAAACTGCATTGTTTAGAGATAAAGATATTTCAAAAAAAATTTTTCTTTTTTTTCAATTTTTTCCCCAAAGATTATTTTTCGTGATTCTGATGTTTGGGGATTTTAAATTTCGGGATTCTGATCTTTCTGTATTTTGATACATTCGAGATTTCAAATTTCGGGATTTTAAATTTCAGGATTTCGACATTCGGGATTTTTATGATTCGGGGTTATAACCCCAAACCCATGCAGGGGGATATGGCTAACGGACACAAGGCGTTGAAACACCAGTTCTCGGACGATCACCGAAATTATGTCAGTATTTAGATGGGTGACCGCTTAGGTATACTAAATCCTGTCAGCTTGTGTGTATGGGTGGTGTAATGCATAACGGCTCGGAATTGTAAATCAGTGAGTCGAGTTCAAATCCCAGTTCGGTTCGTTTCATTCACTTACAAGCAAATCCTCTTGGGAAAGACTATAAATCATACACACACAGACACACACACACATATATATATATATATATATATATATATATATGTAATGGTGAAAACTTCAGACCAACATTTTCCTAATAAATACACCGACAAATTAAGAACTGATATTATATATATATATATATATGTGTGTGTGTGTGTGTGTGTGTGTGTGTGTGTGAAAATATATAGAATATAGGAAAGAACTGGTTAGGTAAATAATCCAAAGTTCCTTAGTATTTTAGTTATTATTTTAAAAAAATAGTGCTCGATAAAAAAGTAGAGCATAAATATAATGATTTATTTAAAAATATGATTCCAACTCACGAATTGGAATCATATTTTAAAATAAATAATATATATATATATATATATATATATATATATATATATATATACATAAGTGAACATTAAAGTCAACAGAGGTGTTTCATGCTAAATGCAATTATTGACATCGATGTTCATTTTATATTTACATAGGCTCTATCGCTGATATTGAGCACTTTATCCCATAAATATAGCACACCTTAAGACTATATTTCTTCATATATATATATATATATATATATATATATGAAGAAATATACTCTTATAGTGTTCTCTATATATGGATAAAAGTGCTCAGTAAGAGACAGAGCGTGTGGAAATATAAAAATGAAGTGTAGTCAACTTAGAGGAGACAGGCTGTTTCATGCTAGACGCAATCGTCAAGCCACACACACACATACACATATATATATATACAAAGTCAAAAAGGTCTAATAAAATCGTTGAAAATAAATTACTAAGGGATGTAAATGAAGTACTGAATATTGAGAAATGAATAATCGATATATATATATATATATATATATATATATATATATATATATATATATATATATATATAAAAGTTCATCGTTAAATAGGAATGTATACAAAGTCTCTTAGGCCTTGGTTGGCAGCTAGTTTGGGAGAAAGAGTATATATATATATATATATATATATATATACATATATATATATATATATTATACCAACTTTGTGCAGTGTATGTGTGATATTAATAAGAACATGCTTTGTTACGAAGAAAACATTTACAAGGGATAGATAGATAGATAGATAGATAGATAGATAGATAGATAGATAGATAGATAGATAGATCCAAGTATATGTACATATAATATTAAAAAAAACATCCCCATCTACAAAAACATCTGGCGGTGAGTAATTCTTATTTATCTGTTAATTCCTCGGTCCGTTGATAAAGGACACATGCGTGTCCAAAAATTTCGAACTTAAAACCTTTCTCGCAGTGTTTCATTTGTCATATGGTTAATAATTAATATTTAATCAATGTTTATCGTACTAATTATATTGGTACACCTTCTTTTGTCCTTGTTTTATTAACTAACCTATCTATTTTACATACATTCATACATACATACATATATATATATATATATATATATATATATATATAATAACAAATACTGGTAACGCCTTACAAAACACGTAGACCAATAAGTTACTCGTGGAAGTGAAACGCATTTAAAGGCGGGGATATTTATGCAAATGAAGGGCACAATATTCAAATATAGTGCAACAAT